CACACACACACACACACACACACACACACACACACACACACACACACACACACACACACACACACACAGACTCTGTCTCTGTCTCTGTTCAGTCAAGAGCTACACGGCTGTCTTAAATTTCATTGTGGGACAGAGAATATCCTCCCTATATATGTCACTCTCTCTTCCTTTAGCTCATTTCTTGCTTCACCTGACTTATCACACACCCCTGGCCCGTCCTCAGTCCTCCTCTGCTGTCCGACAATTTAGCTCTAGGTCATCAGCTTCGTCTACTTACTGACCTAAATTCATGTTACGCCACATAATTAGGCTGTGTGCTTGTTTCCGTTCCCACTTTCAAAGACAGGTCTAAAGAGCTTGAGAAGCGTCTTGAGAGGGGAGACTTCTGTCCTGTGTCCAATGGCACTCAACAAGTTCTCCAACTAAATGGAGCATACTGGCAACAGGAAACAGGCAACAATAAACTGTTAGAATTTTTGTTAGGTTAGAGGAAAAACCCTTGTTTAAATCATCGTTAGATGTCCAAGATTTTGAGTGTTACTGTGTTTCCTTCCCACTGTTGCCAAGTGAACAAATTCCAGTTCCTGGGTATGGGGCCGTCTGATTTTTGAGGTTTTCGCTCTATTATTATATAGTCTGTAAATTTTCCATGAAATTTTGGTACATCACAACATCATTGAATCTGGACAAATAAAATGTACTTGACATGTATATGAAAGTATGTTTATACCAAACATACTTTCATTGGTGATTAATTATTGGAATTAAAAAAAAACTTTGATTTTCTATATTCCAGTTGCATTTAACTCAGAACTATTGGTTCATGTCTTTGAGGCTGATGAAACCCTCCATCCACCTTAACCTCCTCCGCAGTGGTTCTGAAACCACAGTAGACTTCCTTTGCAGCTGAGGAGCCTTTTGAGAGAAGCACTGAATACTCATCTAATTCAAGTGAAGCAAATGAAACATTTTTTGAGTATAGACACAAAAATACACGTCTTTGACATACCGCCTGGAGCTGAACCGCAGTATATTACTAGGTTCGGACACAACCCACATTTTGTGAACACAGATTAATATATAAATAAAGTAACATTTCCCACAAGAGTCCAAAAAAAAGTGCCTCAGTCAGGGGACAAAACTTTTCACCTTGTGCCATAATTTTTTCAGAAAACTAATCTCAGAGCTAAAGGTGCTTACTGTTACCTCACTGACATTGCACATGTTTCAACATAGAATCAACAGCATGAAAGTCTTGTTCTCACCTAGAAAAATTTCGATTTGTTTCCTTGCTGGTTCAAAGCAGCAATCTCAGCTCAAGAGGACACACAGAGGAAATGTTGTGAGACCCCCCAACACCACGGGTGGCTCTGCAGGAACAGCGGACCAACAACTTAGCTCTAAAGAGAAACACGGGCAATGTTTAGTACAGGAAAATAAGTGCTCTTCCATAAACACCGCAGAAGCCAAAACATTGAGATTAACAAAAATTGCAGAGCAGCAATAATTTACATTCCTCAAAACAAAAAACAAGTTCAGGCCAATCTTTTTTTTGTGGATTGCTTTAACATGACGATCTGTCATGTAAACCCAGGACAGAGTAAAGGGAAACCAGAATCATAAAATAACAACACGCCTCATAAACTACCGCTATAAAGGTTTAACTAAAGCCTTAAAATAGCAATTACATCAACTGAGTTTCGTTTACAGAAAAAAAATCAGTGAGTGTATTAATATGTGTGTGTGTGTGTGTGTGTGTGTGTGTGTGTGTGTGTGTGTGTG